CAAAAGTGAGGGCCTCTCTGAACTTATTAATTTTTTACTTTATTCCGTAATATATGATGTATCGTTCATTTAAAAGATCCCCTTTCAATCAAGAATCATTTGAAATCTTCACAACATGTTTCTCATCCGATATCTTAAAAATTTAAAGTGTCAGCTATGGATATAGTCTGTTGAAAACGCGATACAGTAATAGAAATAACAGTATCAAGTGACGGAAATTAAACCAGAATGTTTATAGAAAGTTAGCAATTCTTCGTATTTATTAAACAATTTACAGTAATAATCGAAAATAAAATAAAATGAAATATTTATAAGACAATTTTATATTATTTTAATACGTTTTATATTATTTAATGTATATTATAAAAATAAAATTTTAAATAAATTTTTATAACGAGATAATTTTAAGTTATAAATAAAAGTAATCTATTTCGGCTTTGCGTTCAGTGCCACCTATTTAAATTTTACGATTATTTATAAATATATTGTATATTATTTAATTAAATAAAAAATTTAATTAAAGACAAAAAAAGAAAAAAAAATGTGAAGATAAATTTGCTAAAAGGAAAATTTAAATCCGAAATAGTACCGACGTATAGAAATTTATAAATAATGCATTTTAATTACGATAAATTAATATATAGCAATATAATAATAAATAAATATTAATTTTACGTATAGCGATATTAATCAATGTACATTACGATAAAATAAACAATAATAATGTATATTTTGATCACGTGACGAACGGTCTGGATAGGACGAGGGAAATCGAGTCGCGGGTTGCGCCAAATAACGATGTAAGTTTTAAAAATTGAATACGTTCTTCCCTTTAAAATACGATCGCAGTTATTAATTTCCATTAATGAACTCGAATAGTTTACATACGAGTTTTTATTTTTTTTTAAAGTTGAATTAAAATGATATGTTTATGGCGGTAACTTTAATCTTTCTGTTAAAACACACGTTAAGAGCCAACGAATTCCACGTTTCTGCTATTTTTAAGTCTTTAATCCATTGAAATAGACATAAATTCTCACAATTGTTGAATATAAAAGAAATACACGCGTTTTCAACCCACAACTGTTACTATAATAGGAATGATGTCATTGAAACTTGTCTTTTTAAACACAAAAGAATTTTAATAGCTTTAAATGATTATAAAAATGCCTTTCTTTTAAATAAAAATGGCAACAGTTTGTATTATTATTATAAAGATATGTCAAGAAGAAATCTTGTGTCTTCTCATCATTATAATAGCATTGTATTCATGCATGGGTTATGTTTCTAAGTAGCGTAATTAACTTTTATAAAAACTATTAATTTTTCAAGGGAAATTAGATTTTAAACTGTTTTTTTTTTTTTCCTACGTAGTATACGGTATTAAAAATATACATGTATACTGCGTAACTGTTGAATTTATATTTATGTAAATTAATTTACTAAAATATTCAATTACTATCGATGTATTTTTATGTTTTAAATACGAGTTCGGTAAAAATTGATGCCTGAAAAATTTAACATTTATTTATGACATTTAGAGGATGTGCTAAAATACATCCTTTGTTATACAAAACAATTGTCAATGTATTTATGTGTTATGTATGGGTGTTATTTCTAAGTTTATATAATAAGTCTGCTTTTATTTAAAATTTTTATTCATAAAAAATTATTTAAAAAGATTGATACTGAATTGTTTTCGGTAAATAAAAAGAACACTACCAAATGAATTGTCAAATTATTTTATGTTTCAAGTAATTTGTTAATTAAATGAGTTTTGTGTTTTGAAAGTCATTTTAAAACTTTAAAAAATTATCAATGACTTCAGATTTTAATTTAACTTAGGAAACTAATGTAATCAGAATGTATGAAATAAAATAATAGAGAGGTTGCGGCCGACGTTTTTAACGCGAAAACGTGTACGTCGGACATTCGGCACCTCTTTCCTATAAGCCTAGAAGTTTGACAATGGTGTTTGGATAGTCGGTGGAATTGTGCTCGACATTCCAAACACCATTGCCAAACTTCTAGGCCTTTAGGAAAGCGGCGCCGAATGTCCAACGTACACATTTTCGCATTGAAAACGCTGGTCGCAACTTCTCTAATATACAGTACTTACAACTTCAAACTGTTTGAATACAAATGGAAATAAAATGACAATTGATCATTACAAAAATTTAAACTAGTGTATGAAGAATAAAATAAAATTAAGCACAAGTTCAAGCTCGAATAAAAATGTAAAATAATATAATATATCTGTTTAAAAACTGCAATGTAGCACAGTAATCAACACATGGCATAACTCATTCATTTATTCAAGCTTTTGTTGATCTGTTTAAAAACTGCAATGTAGCACAGTAATCAACACATGGCATAACTCATTCATTTATTCCAGCTTTTGTTGACAAAAGCTGGAATAAATGAATAAATGAATGAGTTATGCCATGTGTTGATTACTGTGCTACATTGCAGTTTTTAAACAGATCAACAAAAGCTTGAATAAATGAATGAGTTATGCCATGTGTTGATTACTGTGCTACATTGCAGTTTTTAAACAGATATAAAGATACAACACGGTTTCGGAATAATATAATATAATCAAAGTAAATCTTTGTCCATTAGAATAATAGAATCTAAGAAGTCAATGGATCTTGTAAAGGGATTTCTAAGCATTAGAAATATCAGCATTCCTAAAATTATTGTGGTTAGATCTGGCAGATTTATGTTTCTCCAGTAATTCCAAGTTCTTTAAATTTGTTGTTATAAACAGAAGGTATTGTATCAACTCCACCCTTTGCCAGTGCACCTTTATATCTGGAACAGAAGCAAATGACACCAGACTAGTATTGGACATTCCCTTTCTAGTGTTCCATTCATGCTGCTTAATTCTTGTGTCAAGAATTTAAGAAGTAATTTGGTCTTTATAGGTGATATAGGGGCTATGTCACCTATAAAGATCAAGTTATAAATCCTCATCAAATATTCTATACATACTATGGGTTCTAGTTGGGTTTCTACAGTCTTTGTTGTTCTTTAATAGTTTATATATTTAAAATTCCTCCTGTAACAAGTGGTAGTGTTAGATCTTCTCTATTTCTGTATGAAGTTGTCCTAAATATGCATTGTAACATAGCACTTTTATTGTTTTTATTGAAAGCATGCATTTGTTGCTCGGAATCTTGTTTTAGGCATTGACTAAACTTATCAGACCCACACAATAACCAAGAAAGCATGCAACCTTATTAATAAATTAGTTGATTATTCAGATTGCTTTTTGTCCATTTGTCTTATTTCCTATGTTTCATGCTAGTGCACTTTTCCTATAGATGTACTTATCAAACTGGCTAGCCACAGAACAGAATGACCTTGAGACACAATTTTCTTCTTTGTGTTTATTTTTTGATTTTTGATATGCATTTCAGAAAAATCATACAAAATAAATACATAGAAGAAAATTGTGTCTCAAGGTCATTCATTCTGTTCTGTGGCTATCCAGTTTGATAAGTCTGTCCATAGGAAAAGTGCACTAGTATGAAATGTAGGATATTAGTTGGTGCCTATAACATCAAAGTTTCAAAGTTCCAAGCAACAAATACAGACCATTATTGAACATTTTGAAGGTGGTATGTTACAATGCACATTTAGAAAGAGTTCATGAGGACACAGATGTAAGATCTAACACTATCACTTGTTATAGAAGGAACTTTATTGTTCCTTAATAGTTTATGTATTGTAAAGTTCTCAATAGAAACTTCCTTAATTTAATTAATTAATTATAACAGGCATAACTAATTAGTCCCACAAATCTTAGAAATAACTCTTACTTTGAACCTCTTAACCTTTTTTTGAGATTTTTAGTACATTCCGGTGTGTGGAGAAGAATAAATCAAATCTTAGAACTTATCCCATTATACAGTCTAGGAAAACTTAATTGGGAAATACAATATGTATTTATATACACCATATTTCTCAATCAAATCCTGGATTCAAATGAACCCTGGAAAATAAAGATGCTGTTAAAAATAAATTCTGTGTTGAAAAACATGGGAAACATGTTGAAATTTGCACTGTATAGAGGCTTGCCAGTGGCTGAATGGATAAAACCATTGAACTTGGGTAGTTGGTTGTGGGTTCATGCCTTGCCAACAAGCTGGCCATATGAAGATTTCCAGATTTTCTTCATGTTAGTAACACCTAAATAGGGGCTTAGTTACCCATAAGTCCTTTTGGGAGGCATCAGTCCTAGGCAGGTCTCCTACATGCTGCATTACTGTAACAAATAAACTAAACTAAACCAAACCAAACCACTGTACAGGGTAATGTAATTTAGAATGACAGATCAGGAATTAACTAAATTCTACCTCTTTAAATTGTCTACTTGGATAGTATTTCAAGGTTCAAGGAAAAATTTTTGGAAATAAAATTACATTATCAAATATTGAGCATGGGAAAAATTGTGATTGAGTTCTTAATCAAGAGGTTATCAGCCAAAGGATAATTAAGAAAACTTTTATTGGAAAAATATGATGAGTTTCTACCAGAAGATGGTAGTCAAGATCCTGATTCCAACAACAACAAATCAGACATGAATGACAACATAACAACCAAATTGGAAGGCACTAAATCAGATTAACTGTAAAAATAGTAAATTATTACAAATGTTGTTGTTGTTGTAACACAGTAAACAGTATTGATAGTTTTGAAAATGTACAAGTAATTAATACATTTCTTTCAACTTTTACCCACTTGTCTCTTGTTGCAAGGCAATAAATTTCAACCTTGAAAAAATTCTGTCTTCAAATAAATCTCAGAGGAGTATATACAGTATATGTAAATCAATCAATCTGTATGGGAACAGCATCTATTCAAACAAAATAAAAGTAATAAAACTCAAAAAATAAATAAAAGAAAAAGAAATATTCTAAGTTCTCTGAGTCTCTAAATAAAATTCTATTGTATAAATTTTAAATGTGATACTTGATTTGAATAGTAAGAACTCACTAAGTATCAAAAGCAATATAGTCTCTACCATAATATTGGTATAATTCAGTAATAAATACACCTAAATACCAATAAATACCAAAATAAAGGCAAATAATGTATATATTTAAACAAAACAAATATTTTCTTCCATTTTAAATGATGATATTCAGGTTAGAAGTCTGTGATAGGAGATCTCCTACCACAGACTACTTTTTTTTTTTTAACATTAGAAATGATAGAGAGGAGCTACTTGCTGGGGATCTATACTATTTCTGTACAAGATCACAATGGATCGACCATGCAAGTATATTGGTGCCATGACTAGATGCCTGAACATGAGGATTAAGGAATATCAATATACAATTTGGAAGGGGCTTTCTATAATTGTGCTGGCTAGTTTTGCAGCTGATAATGACATTCAAGTTGAATTTGATAATGCACAATAGAAAAAGATAATGTATACCACTGTCTGTCGACATTACATAAAAATAATTTATTTTGCTAGTACTTTCGACAGTATATAACTGTCCTTTTCAGACAGAATCATTCATAGAGAACAAAACATTGAAATTCAAGAAAAAGAACCCGAACATCAACCAATGTTTTTTTAAAATTGTTTGTCCCACATGTGCATAGAAAATTTAAATTACACATATACAATTTATAAAATTATACAATAACACAAAAATACGATGATATGTAAAAGAAAAACGTCAAGAATAAAATTGGATTAAAGTAAAATACATAAATACTAATAAATTAAACAGTCAATAAATGAATAATAAATGTATAGTGATGCAATGCTGCTACAAGGTGT